TATGTCTAAGAGATAGAATTACCTTAATATCCAGAAAAACATAAAACATCCTGAAAATTATTCAAACCGTTCAGCACTGTTCGAGTTGATGAAAGTTCTGCGTGGTTTTACTTTCTGCTTGATAAAGAAAATTAACTTGCAATATGTAAGAAGTGCAAAAAAGAGATAAAATCAAATGGTGGCGTACCAGTGTACTGAATACACATCTAAAAACTAAGCATGAAATTGACTTGCTGAATAGGAAATTGTCCCAAGATGCAGCACCATCATCGGGTTTTTTTTATTGGTACAGTTATCAACGGACGAAAAATCCAAACCTCTGATCACCAATTTCTTACAAAATTAACGCGACAACTCGTCGTTCTCAGTTTTTCTAGATTGAACACCCTTTATGTTGGAATCTTGGATTAGCAAGAGTTGTTGGTTCGTCGCCTGCTGAAAAATGCATTAATTTAGTTCAATAATTGTTGACATTTTATGTTGAATTGGAGTGTAGATTCTCAGCGAGTGGCAACATTATCACAAAATTTGATCATCTTTTGAGGATGATATTCTAAATGTACTATGTTTTTTATGGGCTCATTTTACAAAGGAGAAAAAAGCGAAAAATGAAAAAGTTAGTTATTTTGATATAAAATAAGTAATCATATTGAATCAATGAAATTTTTACTATTAACTTGAGATTTTATTCATATTATGATAAATTTAAAAAAAGTTTAATACCGATATAATACCAGTATTACCGGTATTGAAATTATTAAGTACCGAAATACCGGTATTGAAAAATGGTATCGGTATTGGAAGCACTATACACTCACGAATGAGTAATGTCAGCAGCATTAAAAATATATATAATTAGTTCAATATTAAAATATTATAGGATAAAAATGTAAAATGTATGTAATAATGTAAGAATATGTAAAAGAATGTAATAATAGAGTATTTATTATTATATAAGTTTCTTTATGTTTGTCTTTGTTTTCAAGGTTTCTTTATGTTGCTGTGACTTTTTTTTTTTTGTTTTAATTTTTGTTGCTGTGACTTTTTTTTTTTGTTTTAATTTTTGTTGTCATTTGGCTTTGTTAAGTATCTTGTGTTTTAAAGTATCAGGGTTATTGTTAAGTATCTTGTGTTTCAAAGTATCAGGTTTATTGGTAAGTATCTTGTGTTTTAAAGTATCAGGTTTATTGTTAAGTATCTTGTGTTTTAAAGTATCAGGGTTATTGTTAAGTATCTTGTGTTTCAAAGTATCAGGCTAATTGTTAAGTATCTTGTGTTTCAAAGTATCAGGTTTATTGTTAAGTATCTTGTGTTTCAAAGTATCAGGTTTATTGTTAAGTATCTTGTGTTTTAAAGTTTCAGGTTTATTGTTAAGTATCTTGTGTTATAAAGTATCAGGTTTATTGTTAAGTATCTTGTGTTTTAAAGTATCAGGTTTATTGTTAAGTATCTTGTGTTAAAGTATCAGGTTTATTGTTAAGTATCTTGTGTTTTAAAGTATCAGGTTTATTGTTAAGTATCTTGTGTTTTAAAGTATCAGGTTTATTGGTAAGTATCTTGTGTTTTAAAGTATCAGGTTTATTGTTAAGTATCTTGTGTTTTAAAGTATCAGGGTTATTGTTAAGTATCTTGTGTTTCAAAGTATCAGGCTAATTGTTAAGTATCTTGTGTTTCAAAGTATCAGGTTTATTGTTAAGTATCTTGTGTTTCAAAGTATCAGGTTTATTGTTAAGTATCTTGTGTTTTAAAGTTTCAGGTTTATTGTTAAGTATCTTGTGTTATAAAGTATCAGGTTTATTGTTAAGTATCTTGTGTTTTAAAGTATCAGGTTTATTGTTAAGTATCTTGTGTTATAAAGTATCAGGTTTATTGTTAAGTATCTTGTGTTTTAAAGTTTCAGGTTTATTGTTAAGTATCTTGTGTTATAAAGTATCAGGTTTATTGTTAAGTATCTTGTGTTTTAAAGTATCAGGTTTATTGTTAAGTATCTTGTGTTAAAGTATCAGGTTTATTGTTAAGTATCTTGTGTTTTAAAGTATCAGGTTTATTGTTAAGTATCTTGTGTTTTAAAGTATCAGGTTTATTGGTAAGTATCTTGTGTTTTAAAGTATCAGGTTTATTGTTAAGTATCTTGTGTTTTAAAGTATCAGGGTTATTGTTAAGTATCTTGTGTTTCAAAGTATCAGGCTAATTGTTAAGTATCTTGTGTTTCAAAGTATCAGGTTTATTGTTAAGTATCTTGTGTTTCAAAGTATCAGGTTTATTGTTAAGTATCTTGTGTTTTAAAGTTTCAGGTTTATTGTTAAGTATCTTGTGTTATAAAGTATCAGGTTTATTGTTAAGTATCTTGTGTTTTAAAGTATCAGGTTTATTGTTAAGTATCTTGTGTTATAAAGTATCAGGTTTATTGTTAAGTATCTTGTGTTTTAAAGTATCAGGTTTATTGTTAAGTATCTTGTGTTTTAAAGTTTCAGGTTTATTGGTAGTTGTATAATAATTAGTATCTTTAAATGACACACTTTTTCCTGGTTCAATTTTGAGTTTGGAATGATTAGGTCTACAACTTGGTTCTACATCTTCTCTAAACCTCATAGACTCAAGCACGCTAACTACAGAATTGGATGTTTATTTTCAGTTTGTCCACATACTTCCGAACATAGTTTTTTCAACAATAAAGGAAACCTGTCTTTAGTAATAATAGAACTTTTTCATTCATCTAATATTGAAACCATTTTATTTTCAATGGTCTGTACAATCCAACATCTAGTGATTGACATACATAAGTGGAATTTTTAGTAAAGCAAATTAACAATATTATTTTCCAGTGATAAGTCTATAATTCTCACAGTAAAATAACTTGATTGAACCTATTGAATTGAATTTACAAAAAAAAAAAAACTATTGACTGAATTTACAAAGAGATCAGTGGGAAAACGATTATTATATGGCAAAAAAGAACTCTCAATCCAATCTGAATATGTATTAAACCAACCTTTTTGTGGCGATGCAAAAAGTCAATTGACCATTGAAGGAGTATTGTTTTTAAAGTGAATTTCGTGTTACTTGTTTAATAGAGAAGAAGTATCTCGTGTTACTCGTCATTTAATTAAGTCTCATCCTTTTATTGCGACTGTTCCTAAGTGCTAAAAAAAATCTTGTTTGTCTAGTTTTTTTTCCTCAATCAGAATTTGCTCCCTTTGTCTTGTTTTTTTGATTCATATAATATGCAATTTTTTAAGTTGTCTGTTAATCGTTATTTTGCTTTATAAACTTCATCTTTTCTCTTCCAGTAACTTCCAACTCTAATTGTGATTGCTTTGAAGATGTTTAAACAATTAAAAAATAAAATTTTTTAAACAATTTTCTTCCAGTGTACTTGAATAGTGTTTTGCGGCTACTCTTCAATCTGTATATCTTTCACAATATTTTTTTAAAATTCATTCAAACTTGTTGGATGGCCAAATTTCTTGTTGTCTAGCCATCACACAAAATTATTTAAAGTTCCTTTTTTATGTTATATAAATTTGAATCTTTTCTAATTGATAGTTTTTTGCTTTTTTCTTTTTTGATGCAACATCGTAGTATCATAGAAAGCATAGATTTGACTGTTAGACTTTTTCTTGTAAATTCATTTTTGTTTTATTTAATATATATTTATGAATCTAAATTAGGAAAGGAAAAATAAAATAACAATAGAGGCAAATTAAAATAAAACATATACACACTAACAACTAATAAACCAATAAAAATAATTAAAATAAAACATATACACACTAACAACTAATAAACTAATAAAAATAATAAAAATAAAACATATACACACTAACAACTAATAAACTAATAAAAATAATAAAAATAAAACATATACACACTAACAACTAATAAACTAATAAAAATAATAAAAATAAAACATATACACACTAACAACTAATAAACCAATAAAAATAATTAAAATAAAACATATACACACTAACAACTAATAAACTAATAAAAATAATAAAAATAAAACATATACACACTAACAACTAATAAAATAATAAAAATAAAACATATACACACTAACAACTAATAAAATAATAAAAACAAAACATATACACACTAACAACTGAAAATAATAGAATAAGTATATCAAGTTGCATCAAATATAATTTATTGAGATAAAGTTGAGTAAATATTTAACATTTAATTAAATAAATCTTAATTAAAATTAATAGACATTTAGTTAAATTTGAACAGTGTTCAAAATACATAAAGTACCTAAAATGTCACCCCTAAAGTCATTATATAGTTTTATCCCTAATTATTATCCCTTATTAATTATTAATTTTTATCCCTTTTAATTATTTTTTTTTTTGGACCATTCAACTGTCAAAAAAAAATGCTAATGTTTCAAATTTAACTCAAATTTACCAGTGATACAATTAAAAGAATATATAAAATTTTTAACTTTATGTATTCTATTTATATAATTCTAAAATTTTTATTTGAGCAGTGAACCAATCAGGTAGAGTTATATTAATTTTCTATTTATGTTGCTCTATCAGATTGATTCACTGCTCAGAATGCATTAGATTTTCTGTTTAGATTGGTTAAGATTTTAGCAAACTGTTAAAAACTGTTAACTGTTGTTAAGTAAACGGTTCTGTAAAGTAAACTTTCTGTTAAGTAAACTTTCTGTTAAGTAAATGGTTCTGTTAAATAAACTTTCTGTTAAGTAAACGGTTCTGTAAAGTAAGCTTTCTGTTAAATAAACTTTCTGTTAAGTAAATGGTTCTGTCAAATAAACTTTCTGTTAAGTAAATGGTTCTGTAAAGTAAACCTTCTGTTAAGTAAACTTAGTCTACATTTGAGAAATTCTATTATTTTAAAAAAAAGACAACTAAAGTCTTTGAACACTTGAAAAAGTTTTACTTAAAGTTTTTGTCCTAAATAACTCCACTGTCCAAAGTAATCACGTTTCACGGTATAATATAGTTAAATATTTTTGTTTTATCTTATAGGAACTTGACATTATATACAAAATTCCTCACTGTGTTCCAATTTCTGCGCATCACAAATGGAATTTTGATGACCTATTAGAAAAAATATGGGATTATTTACAATTAGTTCGCATGTATGCTATTTAGTTAATGCAATATTTTTCTTTATTAAATTTTTTCTTTAATAAGTTATTATTAATTCTTTTTTCTCTTTGATTTATATATAAAATTTTTTTTTTTTTTTCATTCAGATATACAAAGCCAAAAGGTCAACTTCCTGATTATACTGCACCTGTAGTGTTGCATGCTGGTAAAACCTCAGTTGAGCAATTTTGTGACAATATCCATAAAAGTATTATGAAACAATTTAAAAAGTAAGACTTTAATTTATATATATATATATATATATATATATATATATATATATATATATATATATATATATATATATATATATATATATATATATATATATATATATACTTTTATTACACATTTTTTTAATAAAATTTTTTTCATTTTAAATAAAATAGTGCATTGGTTTGGGGTTCTTCAGTTAAGTACCAACCTCAGAAAGTTGGGAAAGAGCATATTTTACAAGATGAAGATGTCGTACAGATAATCAAAAAGTATTTTTTGTCATTATTATTTTATTATATTTATACTTTTAGTTAATAAATGTATTTTATATCTGTTAACTATAAAGCTACATTTAAACTGTTGTTAAAAAAAAAAATTTATTTAAAAACTTTGGCATATAAAATTCGCCAAATGGTCACACACGAGCAGTGAACGCCTGAGGGAAGAAATGAAGTACATTAGAATCAAGGAGAATTATTTATTAGACAAAGCATATTTTGACAGTTGTCAAGACAAAAATAAAGATTAATAGAGGAATATTTAAAAATAAAGACAGGCTATATACCCACAACAATAATAACAACAACAAAAATAAAAAAATATATAAAAAAAATTGTTTTAAAAACACCAATATGAATATACATCATCAGACAAAAACTTATAAAACAAAAAACCGATCACAAAATAAAAAATATACTAACAACAATGAAAGGCATTTAATAATGGAAAAAAAACATTAATGCTAATGTGTACACATTAGCATTAATGTTTTTTTTAATGTTTTTTGTCATAGTATTTTATATCTGTTAACTATAAAGCTGCATTTGTTAAAAAAAATTTTAAGTTTCGTGATTTTTTTACACCTTCGTAACCATAGCCCATTTTTGACCAAAGCCATTTGAGCCCTTTGGTGACCTATGTTTTGGTCCACTTTATTATGCTAAATTCTTTACAACAGTTGTATGTAAAGAATTTAGCTTAATAAAGTATAAACATATATAATAGCATTAAGAGCTAATGAGAAGAGACTCGTTTTTTAAATAGTAAAAGCAGTGATAATCTTTTGTATGATAAATGCTGACTGCTGCTTTTATTTAACTATAACTATATTTAAGAATAGCTTTTTAGTTCACCAACTAAAAGATTTACTTTTTGCAGCGAATTTCAGATGTTTCTTTATGTTATCAATGGTGACATCTGTACCAGGGTCATTCCATATTGATGGTGACATCTATACCAGGGTTATTCCATATTGATGTTGACATCTATTGAGTTAATACCAAAATCAGAAAAATTTGAGTATCTGGAGCTTAGAGTAGATTTTTTGATTTTTGACAGATCATAACCTTGTAAGTAAAATGATCCATTTTTGCTGATGTTTTTGACTGATTCTAAAATTTTTTTTGAGTTTTTGTACACAAAGTTGCTAAATCAAGCAATATTAGGAAAATTTCTGATGAACTTTAATGAGCTACAGTTCAATGCCTACAGAAAGACAGTGCCAATTTTGTGTTACTTTTGTGTACCTAGGGCAACTTCTTGTGGTAAAAATCAAGATTATGTGCTAAAAGTTAGTTTAATACTTGCAGCAGCCTGTTAAAATATCACTTTTTTTGATAAATATGATAAATTATTTTTACTTTGAGGTATAGAAAATAGCGTAAACAGTTGAAATGAATTATGAAACTTTTTACATTTATATAAGTTATATAAATTATATAAATATATAAGTTATATAAATAATATAATAAATTATATAAGTTATATAAATAAGTATCAAATAAAATTTGGAGATCTTTACTCTATCTTATGACATAATTGCAGCCTTTTGAGTAATAGCTTTTTAATTTAAATGGAGAACTAAAAAATAGTATTTAAGTTATATTCTATTAGAAAAAAAGTAAATAATATCAAGTAAAACAATCAGCTAAAAGAAGACGTGTGTATACACATGAAACACAAGAACACTAATTTCTCTATCTCTGATTTACATATTACTGCCATAATCATTAATAGCAAGATTGAAGTCACTAGCACTTCTACCCTTAATGGATGAAGCATTTATTTGACATGTTACTTTGTCAAATGGAACCCAACACTGACTTGCATCATTAGTTTCAAATTTTATTTATTTCTATGCGTAAACTTCAAATTAACATTTTGGTTTTCATTACAAAGTTCAACCACAAGCCCTACCTAATGTACCATTTTATCATTGTAATAAGTCTGTATGATTCATGTACGATTGTGTACGATTCATCGTTGTAAAAGCATGCAAAGTGTTTACAAGGTTAAAAAGTTGAAGGATCATTTTTTAGTTAACATAATTCAGCAAATGGATCACAAATCATTGACTGTATCACTAGAGAGTTTCTGCAAAAAAAATTTCTCTTTATCTGGCATAAAACAGTAATAGCTTCAAGGTGATACATTAAGTTTATTAAACATTTATAAATATTTTTCGTGAAGGATCACTGCCATTTAACTGTTTCACTTTATTGATTGTGGGTAGTTTGATGTAAGGTAGTTTGATTGGTTTGCCAGTAAAACTCTGGTACAGCATTTTGTACAATAAAACTATAGTTCTCTGTAAAATCCATAAGTAGGAGGGTTGTGCTTCTTTGATAGTCTGATGGTGATTAAGGTCATACAAAATTTCTCTAATATTTTCAATCAATTCAATAATGCTTGCCTGAATTGAGCAGTTCAGTCAATTGACACCAGTTGTTTATATGTGATCTGATTATCAAAATCAAAATCCTTCTTTTGAAACACATTTTTCAAGTAAGTCTTCAAATTTAGGACAGTTGGGACATAGATGAAACATTCAGCTTCGACTATTTATATTACAAGCACAAACTTTCATTAAATCTTTGTAATTTATCAATATGCCCTTAAGTAGAGAATTAAATTAGCATTTTTGTGATTTTGGTGACATTGTCTCGTGAACTCTTCAGACTCATAGATTTCAATGACTTTCTTTTTAAAAATATCTTCCAAATGTTGTCCTTTTTCAGGTTTAGCAAGTACCCTTTTTCCATTTTTCAACTTTTGGACTTTCTTAACAAGATGTTCTAAAGCTGAAAATGTTTTGCAAGTTTTTTCAATTGAACAAGAATTAACTGAACTTTTTCTTTCTTATTTTCAAACTGTTTTCACTTTTTTCTTTTTTGCATCTAAACGTTTGCCCAGATCATTACAGTTCATCCACTTTTGCTCCTTTTTCAATATTATATCTTATGGGCCCATATCCAAGGCTGATGCTACTAGGTTTGTTATACTTGCTTCCAGTTTTTCCATAATTTTTCACCTCTACTTATATTTTTGAATGATATTTCCAATAAAAATTTTATTTAAAACTATCTGGTCTAAAAAAAGGTCTAAACGACTTCTTCTTCATCATCAACTTCATATCAACTATCTTTTTAATTTATTCAAGTTTGAATTCATTTATACAATTGAAATGAATTTAAATAGAAAAATGCAAAGTTTTTGACCAGGTTTGATTTTAAGACAGATTGCTGTTGGTATGTTGGCTTTACACAATCTCTTAATTATTAATTTAATTAAATTTAGCAGTTCATTAGTTCTGTTTCCTCTTTATTTATTTTTTTAAAAATCTACAAAAGATGGAACTCTTCGTGATATTTGGAAAAAGGCTATAATAAATGCTAATAATAATAATAAAATGCTAAGAAAAGGTTTAAACAAGTATGTTGAAATCAACAAATTACAGACCTGTATCTCTGATGCCAATACCATGTAAAATATTAGAAAGAATAATTCCTGATAATACAATAAAATATTTAATAATAAACAAGCTATTAGCAAAACAACAGCATATTTTTCCGAAAAGCCAAAGCTGCACAACAAGTTTACTAGAATTTTTTGACATTTTAACTGACACATTAAACGGTATTTCAATTAATGTTTTGTATACTGACTTTCGACAGAGTATCGCACATAAAATTATGTGCATAATCATAAAATTATGGTGTATCAATCTAGTATGTTGGTGTGTCTCTTAAATGGATTGAAAGAGTGGTATTGGGAAAATGCAAAAGCCAATTGGGTTAATGTATTAGGTTTAGTATCGCACGGTTCTAAAATCTCAGAAAGTGCAGTTCAACAAGAAACTTAAAATTTGTAGCGTTTAAGTATAAAAACTAAAAAAAAATAGAAGGTTCCGTTTGGTTCGGTTCGCGTAGGGTAAAAAAAACATGATAATATGTTAGGTCAAGAAATATCAGGACCTCAGAAAAACAAAAGAGTTGTGTGAAGTATGTTAAACATAAAATGAGGAGTTTGGTACATTCATCAATATGACTGGCAAAAAGTCGGGTCGCAAATAAATCTCCTTTTTTCACAAGAAAATGATCGTAGGGAAAGTGTGAAGAACATAATACAAAAGTATAGGAATTTGAAGAGACTTTGGTTACACTGCGTAAGAAAAAGTTGAATCGAAATGTAAAGAATTTGGATTGTGCGATACGAGTTCAAATCCGGCTACCGATATCTCAGCGCACAAGTACTACTTATTCTGTACGGAAAAGTGTTGGTCAATAACGGACGCTACTTTGTATTAGTATTTATGACTATTTATGGCTGTTTCTAAGCTAAGCCAACAATATCTTCGGATATAATAGCATTGTATATCAAAATATAGCATGAAATTCAAATAATAATAAAAAAAATGGAAGTCAATAATAAATAACTGAATGTTTTTGACTTATAATGGTTTGATTTTTTAACGTTTGATTTTGTTAAATCTTCATTTTAAACATTTAACCATTTATTAGTATTTTTCATTGAACTTTTGTTAGTGTCTAAATAGACTTGTTTGTATTTATTTTTAAGTTAGTGCATTTCTCATTATTGAAAACATTACCAATGTTATTTATTCCTTTGAATTTTTATTTGGAATAAATTTTTTTATATATTATTAGTTTTTTTTTTTTTTTTTCAAAGACCAATTCGTTAATATCAGCTGTGTTTTAAAATACTAAATGATTGTATAAAGTATTTAATAATTTATTTTTATTTTTAAACAAATAAAAAGTTTTCTATATGAAACAAAAATATGGTGATATCCAGATTTTTCCCGTACACGGAGAGCAGACGATCAAATTTCTTTAGGGGGTAAAAATAGCCTGTCTGTAGGTTAATTAGGAAGTTTTAAAGCTGAATTTGCTAGTTTAAATAATGGAAAAATTAGGGGGAAATAAGGATGACAGTGATTAATAGTGGTAGCTCTGTTCAAGTATGAAAAAAAGGAAAGATTTAATGCCTTTTAAAATAAACCAAAACATAAACGTTTGAAAATAATCTTAAAAAAGATTGTTATAAACGTTTTTGTTACAAAATGAATATCATTTTGTAACAAAAACGTTTATAACAATCTTTTTTAAGATTATTTTCAAACGTTTATGTTTTGGTTTATTTTAAAAGGCATTAAATCTTTCCTTTTTTTCATACTTGATCAGGCTTTTTAGATAGGAATATTTCTTCTACCTCAAGGTGTCAAGACAAAAAGTATTACATCATGTTTATCATATATAACAGCAAATATATTTTCATCATATCTACTATTATTAAATAAAACATTTTTTTTTTGATGATATTTGACTCGTATATTTGAAAGAAGACGAGCTTTTTTTATTGTATATATTGTGTATTTATTTATTAATTCTTTTTTTAATCGTTTTTGCTTATCTTTTAAATTTTATCATTTTTATTTTAGAGTGTAGTTATCGAGCCGATTTTATGAGTCTGCATTGTTTAAAAATGTTTCAATATATGAATACATTTCTTTGATGCTAAATCTAGTTGTTTGTTTTTTTTATTTCATTTGTTTGTTTTTTATTCCTCTGAACTTTCTGCTTAAATTACCTGTGTTTCTTAATTTTAACTTACTTTTATTCAATGGATGACGTTGTGATTTATTTTTTTACTTTTCCAATTTTTTGCTACAAAAACAAGCAAATAAATAATTAATGTAAACAAATCGTTTATCCAGGGCCGTCTTAACATTAGCAAGGGCCCCAGACACTGGTATGGCTAGAGCCCCCACCATGGGCGCCCGCGGGCACATATTCGGGGTAAGGGTTAGTGATGGGAAATAGAATTAACATAATTATTATATATTAAGATAATTAACAGATCATTCTAAATATGAAACAGCTATCTTTTTCCTTTTTGCGCTTTTTTTCTTGAAAACTTTTTAATGATAACATTATTTCTTTCCAAATTGTGTTACAAAAGAAATTTTTTATTAGCTTAAAAAAACAAAATTTTAGAAAAACATTTAATAAAATCCTTTTATTACTTAAAAGCATGAATTACTTTAAAAATATGTTTGAGCAGAAACATAGATATTTACACTTTATTGTAATTACTATAAAATAAGCAAGCATATCGAACTGATATATTATTAAGTATAGATATATATTTTTACATAGATTTATGAAAAGGTAGATGTTTCTATATAATATTTTAAGAGTGTGTACCAGATTTCAGCTTATTTGAATTTTGTCAGGGTTTATTACCTAAAATTACTGAGCTAGGGTAGAGCTGTACTAGTTAGGAGAATCAGGCAATTAGTAATTTTTTTTTTAACAACAATCGTTATTTTATATTTAAAAAGAAAATAATATTTACATGTCTCCAATTTATATATGTACCACACGCATATTTACAATGCCTAAAAAAAGATAAGTGCTGTTTTTTGCTAGACAATATATGTTAACAAATTATAATAATACTATGTGGTTGTAAGGAAACTCGCGGAAGATTACGAGTTGTCTTTACATCAAAAACCTTTAAAACAGAATAAACTAAAAATTTAAAAAGTAAATTTATAAAACATACATTAACCTTTCGTGATCTATTGTTCAGTAATACTACTGTGTTAAAGTTGTTAGTTAAGTATATTTACTTGTTTATTTATTTTTTGTTTATTTTATTTATTTAATATAAATTGTTCTTGTTATTATTTAATTTTTGCATTTAATAGATATCGATAAAATTGGTTTTGTTAATTATTAATTAGATCTTTTATTTTTTTCTTCAGGGCAATAAGATCTAATTTAGTAAGCTCAATATTTTGAAGTATTATTTTATTGTATAAAATAGGGGCCACGGTATACATATGAAAGTCTCAAGAATTTTGTAATTTTTTATAGGCAATGTGAAATTTCCTGTTTCTCTTTTAATATATCTGTTGGCGTTGATTTGAAAAAGTTATTAGTAAAATAAGTTGAGACAAGTCCGAAATTTTTTTGAGCATAAATAAAATATTTTGGTGGATGTTAATTTGATAGGTATTTAACGCATTTAAGTTTTTAAGTAACGTGTCGGTATGAGTGAATTTATTTTTATTATAAATCAATATTGATGCTTGTTTCTGGTGTATATATAGAGAATTTAGTTTAGATTTATTTGTACTTCCCCAGGCAATATTTTTATACGTTAGATAACTGTATGTAAGAAAAGTAGAGAATATTTAGATTCTTTTGGAAAATTATACGTTTGACTTATATTATAACATACGTTTGTAGAGTATGCCGATACCTTTTGATATCTTTATATTTATTGTTACATGGGCTTTTCAAGAATTCTTTTCGTCAATAATTATCCCAAGAAATTTTATGGTTTCAGTTCTTTTGATGTTTATGTTATTAATTTTTAGTAATGGTAGTATGCATGGTGTATTATTTTTCTTGCCAGTTGGAATGAAACAAAATGTATTTTGTTTTTTCTGTATTTAAAGATAATTTATTTACTTCACACAAAAAGTCATCGTTAAATTGGGCTTCGAAGATAATTTCATAAAGTTTTTATATTTTATGACCATCTATTTTTTCTTTTCTATTACATTACGTCATTACAATAGCCGTTGCGTTGCGGTTAGAGTTCTGGCACAGAACCAAGAGATCCGCGGTTCGACGCCAGCTTTAGCTAAATAAACGACATTTTTAAGGAAAGAAAAGAGAACTTCTTAGTTGAATGCTCTTCACCAGTGCTCTGTGATAAGATCGTAAGGACTTCTGAGAGAACCTTAACAACCGCAATTTTTATTGCGGTTGTTAAGGTTCTCTCAGAAAAATTAAGGTTCTCTCAAAAGAAAAATGTATAAAATTAAAAGTTTATAAATAACAGACACGTTTTGTTAACGATAGTTTTATTGATTTATCTAAGTTCCATATCATGCATTACATTTATTCATAAAATAATTTACCTCAAGGTCTGTAATTAGCCTAAAAAATAAATAAATGGTATTATTAACCCTAATACGCACACTGATTATACGGCCCTGTTTATACCTAGTAATTTAGAAAAATTTATTTATTTTGACGCACATTATAAAAATCAATATTAAAATCAATGACACAATAAAAGTATTTTTTTCTCTTTAAATCTATTAAATATATTATTATAATCTATCTTTTATATTATAATCGTCTTACAAATAAAGCACCTTTAGGCGGAGACTCATGAAAGTATTTTCCAATTACTAATCTTATTTTAAACAACCCTTCCTCGGTTCATCGTCTATTAAATTTGGCATTAAGACTTATGAACTCAACTTTATGAAAAAAACTCGATTTGTGCCTAAATTTACAATCAAAATGAATACAACATCTTTAAAATACCTAGTATCCTAAAAAAGCGACATCGGTTTAGCGACATCGGTTAGGAAAGAGGTGTGAACTTCCGATTAAATGCTCATCACTAGTGCTCTGTGATAAGTCCGTTAGGACTTCTTGGGGCAGTTAAATAAGATTAAAAAAAAAAAGAGTTACAAAACCAAAGTCCTTGACTTTGGTTTTGTAACTCTTCTTTGTTCTGATATTTACTGAAGGAGCCGTTCGTTAAATATAAATGCGTATAGAGTTCGAAAACCATAAAAACTTTCATAATTCTCAAACTCTAAGACCGGTTTTTAAAAGTATAATCTCTAAGCGTTCAAAAATTGACGTAAGTATATATATAAACATATAAATTTTTGAAGTTTGCGCCAAGTCTGCAAGTTACTTATCTCAAACACCAAAAAATCCTTCCTACGCCACCATATATATATATATATATATATATATATATATATATATATATATATATATATATATATATATATATATATATATATATATATATATATATATATATATATATATATATATATATATATATATATATATATATATATATATATGTATATATATATATATATATATATATATATATATATATATATATATATATATATATATATATATATATATATATATATATATATATTACAAAAAACAAACAGGGCTTTTAAAAGAAGATCGCAATGATCTTATCGCCAGAAGCCTTTTACAAAAGAGAGTACGTAAAATAAAAACGGCTTTTTACAAGAGACTACGAAAAAATAACATAAAAACAATAAATCGTTCTTAAAATTTTATAAATATAAATTGGACTCAATTATAAAATAAAAACTTTACCTTTATAACTCAAAATAATAAAACATTATTTCGTTACAAGGTAAGTTAATTAAAAGTATTCTAAGATATTTTCAATAAAAAGAATAAAATCTTTCAACTTATTTTTTTTTAATTTTTTAAAAACGTTCGGGGTCAAAATTAAGCAAAATAATTTTGTTCCAGAATAAGTGACACAAGATGCACAATAAATGACACAAAATTGATTGAATTTCGTTCGACAAAATGATTCATTCACATAAATATTATTTCTCATGTTAAACTTGCTTAATGGTTTCAAAATAAAAAGGTCTTCAAAAATTAAAGGAGATAAATCATACTTCATATAAACAAAAGATAAACTTTTATATACATTTAGTTTAAATACAACAAGGACTATTATTAAATTAAAAAGTATTGAGGCATGTGATCCGCCTAAATTAATTAAACACGTTCCTGACGACTATAAAGGCATTGTAACTTTGCTTGTTTAAGTGCTTCCTTAAGGAATGACTCCATAACTTATAAAACTATAAATAAAAAGTAATAAGTGTTTATTATTTTTTTATTTATAAATGTAAGTTGCTCCTTATATAAAATTATAATACTTTTTGAAACTTTTGAGCAGACATAGTCAAGATGGTGTTTCCAGGGAATGTTCTCTCCAATAAAAATGCCCATGTATTTACTGACAGAATCTCTTTTAGTTTCAATTTGGTCAATAATAATTTTTGGTAAATTTTTGGTAAACGTTTTTTATGGAAGCAGATGGAAAAGATTCCATTTTGTTTTGCTTACATTTAATATTTACTTGTTATATTTAAACCATTTAGATACGTTTCATTATAGAAATTAGTAGATAGATGTCACTATTAGATATATTTAAAAAGTGTTTATGATTAAGTTCATTATAAGAAACAAATGATTTTCTTTTAGATAGATAACTTTGATATACGACAGTTTAATATTCTTTTGAAAGATCAATAAAGATTCTCAATATTAATTGAGATTTTTCAAAAGAATTGGAAATTTCATGTACTAACTGGATAATTGCATGCTCAGTTGAGTTATTTTTTTAAGCCAAACTGATTGTTGTATTATAGATTATTAAAACCAAAATAATTAAATACTCTATTGTACATGATTCTTTCAGATCTTTTTGAAAATATAGATGAGATTGAGGCCGGCAATTACTAATGCTAGATTTATCACCATCTTTGAATTGTGGAATAACTTTCAATTGATCACGAAAAACTCCTTGATCAATTGATGATTTGAAGACTTTAAAAAGAATATATTTTATTTGTTCAAAGCAATCTATACCGTTACCATTAATTTTATCAGGTCCTACCGTTTAATTT